GCCCGTGGAGGTCTCTGGCTGAATATGTTCTGTCCTCAGCAGCTAGCATGTTTTGTAACTGGCTAGGCTCCCTGCTCCCGGTCATGGCACTGTAACTAGCTCTGTCAACACTGCTGTCAGGCTTAAGCATTTGTATTTGCCCCAGACATTGTTACAAAGGTATAGTATCATAAACTGATTTATATAATTCTGATTCCAAAACACAATCTTTGGTACAGAATCCTCAAAATTTTTAGGTTATAGATGACTTTATTAACAAGATGTTTAATATAAATATTTTTATGGATTTCTGCCATTGTCATGTTTATAAAATTATTGAAAATTATTATAAATTAATGTGGTTCGTTCATTTTCCTTAAGTGACATAAATACATTGACCATAATAAAGAATGGCCAATGTCTTCCTAGTTTAGGAATGGAGACTAAAATTTATTTTCTTTACATTTATAAATCATTTTTAAAATTCATATTTAACTGCTATGTAAAATATAAAAATTACATATATTAATGGAGTGGATACAATGTTTTGATACATGTATATATTGCATAATGTTTTAATTGGGCTAAAAATATTTATCTTCTCAATTATTAATTGCTTTCTTCATTGTGAAAACTTTCACAGTCCTTTCTTCTAGCTTTTGGAGGTATATGTACATTATTATTATCCATAGCCACCTTACTGTACAATAACACACCAGAACTTCTTGCTCCACTAAAATTTAAAACTTGGTTTACATGTGCAACATAAAGAGAGGAATTAGTTGAGTAAATCTGGGTGCTGAAATGTTACCTGATACAAATTATGGTTCAATTAAAAATGGGTTTTGGATATGACCAATTAATAAGATAATTTTCTGAAATCAGTGTTTTACTAGAATAGATCAGAATATAAAGAATCAAAAGTTTTATCTTTTAACAATTTATTTGAATAAGGATATGCAGATTTAGCCCCAAACCCACCAATGTAGTAATGCTAGAATTAAATCACAGTGTTGTAGAAAATAGTGTAATTACTGGAGGCCACAAAAACTGGGTCAACCTGATGGTTTGGTTGGATGACATGCCTTTATATTCTGGACAAACTAATCTTGGAATCCCAGCTGCTGGAAGCAGCTGTTCTAGAGATGTAGAGAAAGAAACACAGTATGTCATCATTACTAGCTAGAAGATAAAGAAAGCTATGCTTGTCTATTTCCTGCACAGCTTGTCATAAAATACCAACTATTCCTTTGGGGTTTCATTGTTTACTAACTTTTAGGAAAATAAACCTTTAAATCATTCAATCATTTAATAAGTAGAATTTAGCAAATAGCAGGCTTTTTTTTTTGGGAAGTGCTCATTCTAGTTTCAATCTCTACATATTGACTAGATAATTATTATTCAGATTCATGTGTCATCAATTTGTCATCAATTTGTCAACTTGTTTTGTTGACAATAAAATAGCCTCACAACAACTGAGTGTTAAAAAAAGATTCTTTTTCCCGACTGCGTAAGAAAGATTCTCAGATGCATCAGTAGAATAGAACTCAAAAGTAATTTACTAACATGAACTCACTTCTTGTAAGTCTTTATTATAAGAAGCTGAAGAGAACAACTATTCAGGTTAGCTAATTGTTATAATCAGTATCAGAAATTAAGTAAGCCAAACAGATTTTTAATGGAGCTACTGTAATCATACTACAAACCTAAGTTAACTTAAGTGAACAGAATATTTTCATATATCACAGAAACCCAATTACATTAATTTAAAACACTGCATTACTTCTCAAAGTTGACTGTATTTGTAATCAGTACTGAAACTTTCCTAACAACTAATTAGGAAAGAAAATACACAAAGTTACATTTTCAATTCATTTAATAGCACGGTCTCTACAGGCATTTTCAATTAGCTACGTCTTCTTTAGATTTACTCAATTTGTCAGAGTTGAATAAAGCTTTGAAAATAATGTTATGTGGTTATTTGTGGCTGGTGGATTTTTCTGTTTTTAAAAAGAGATTTCTATCCCTGGACAAAAGAATCTTTTTAATAGAAAGTGGTTGCTAAGGAAGATCAACAAGAATGTCATGCAACAATCAAACTAAGTTATGTTTGCAAAGTAAAATTATATTAGGAAGACAATTAGAATTAACTTTTCTGAGTGGCGAGATTTTCTTTATAATTGTGTATATTCAGACAGTGTATTTCTATGCTTTCTGGAAACATGGGGCTCTGGTGGAGGTTCAAACGTGATATGAAAGAAAACAACAAGAGAGATTCAGATGTTCTTATCACTCTTCTTTTTTACCTTCATGGGGAACCAAAGGATGCTGGGAAGATACCCCTGTATCAGCTAGAAAACAAATGAGGAAGACCCTCTCCCCCAGTGCTAAGGTTACCAAATGACTTCCATGATAATGACCCAGGCTGAGCCCTTCAGCCTGGGCTGGCCCTCGACAAGGACAGAAATTCTTCCTCTTTTCTCAAATGCTCAAATAAACTCACCTACCCATTTCTTTGGTGCCTAATGAAATTTTCACTGCTCTCTTTTTCCTGTCTGCCCCCACCATACCCCCTTTTCTCAGCTCCTAATTCTGCTGTTTGGATAGAATAAAAGGAGTCATCCAGCCCTGCCCACCTTCAACAAAAGTTTTCACACCCTCTGTAGTCTCAAGAGAAGAGAGAGTTCTGCCTAGGACTTGCACAATAATTGATTCTCTTCATAATAAAAAAAAATATATATATATACATATATATATAAACATGCTCAAATTTCACCAATTTTGAAACAATGCAAGTAAATACCCAATAATAATCACTCACACACAGACGCACACATGCAGCCATTACTTCTTTCCATGTGCTAACTATTGTGTTCCCCTACCTAAAAGGTCACCTCAGCCCCTTTCTTGAGTAGTTAATTTCTGGTCACATTTAAATCTCTAGAATCAAGTGTAGTAATCCCACTCTACCACACCCTCACTCACCCTGTGTTCAGTCTTAAGGCTGCTCTGTGAAAGTCACTTGTCTTCATAGAGCCCTAGTGAGCCTTGGAGCAATGGAGGCCTGAGATGTTCCCCAGAGCCCCAGTGTGTAGTGCAATGAGTCAGGCACAACAGTGACCCTGGCTGAAGGGAAGGGCTTTCCACAAACCTGCACTAGTGACACTTTTCTGTCTTCCTTCCTTGCCATCATAAGATGGTTCTGAATTTAAAACTGAGTTGAAACCCTATAACCAGAGGACATGTTCTACCATCTCTCTTCCCACCTTAATTGTACCATTTGTAACTATCTGTTAACATTTTGTCTGTCACTAGACCCTGAGCTCCAGAGTAAGCACCTAGTACTACTACTGCTATCCCACTGAAACACTAAACTGGAGATCTAAAAAGTTATCTTAAAAAAGGGACCAAGAAGGGAAGGAAGGAGGCGGGAACCTAAAAGAGGAGGAAAAGTGTTCACAACCCAGTGAGGAGAATGAAGAAAATAATGCATAGCTAATTCTAAACGTTTCACTTGATTTGCTATAAAATGATAATAATTTGTCAAAAGATTGACACTATATATTTAATTAAATGAAATAAAACTTCTTTTTAATGGTTACTCAAACTCTTTAAAATGCATCTTATGATGTATGTATCTATAGATCTATATATAGATATATATAGATATATCCAGCCTCCCTACTAGAGGGATTGAGGGGTGGATTTGATTCTCTTAATAAGATGATGTAATTTACATTTTATAAAAGGAAACATACAATAATGTAGTAAAGTGATACAACCCATCTGTCTGGACCTCTCAAGGTAATAAAACATTGCTACATAAATAAATCATTTATGTCATGGCCGTACTAAGAGCTAAGCAGAACAGGTGCTGTTTTCATTTTATAGTTGAGAAAATTGAACTTCAGAGAGGTTAAGAGGTATGCACGCCTTGGAGCTGTGAATAAATTGGGGAAGGTAAAGGTAAAAGGGAGAAATATTAGGTTTGCTCTTTTGAAAATGCTTCAGTGGGAGAAATACAATCTTGATCAGCAACAACAAACACTTATTCAGCATTTACTTCCTGGAGCCCAGCTCTCTTTCCTGTGATAGAAATGTTACCAAACAAAAGAGCAGGCATCCCCTCATAGGTCCTCAGACAACATTTTTTTTCTTTTGAGAGACATGGGCCTCTCAAGAAACTTAGCTCCCAAACACTCTTGAATTCTAGGCTGGCAAAAAAAAAAAAACAAAAAAGGTCACTATTAACTAAACTCAACAGCTAGTTCAGCTAGCACACTTTTTTTGTTGTTGTTAAATATAAAATATATTAAAGGGGTTTTCTGTGGTGTGTGTGATTTAATGTGAATTTTCTTTGGAGATCTCTAGAGTAATTAATATGCACTCTCTCAGTAACACCTACACCCTACACCTTCATGTTCCTCTCATGCTATTCTAACCTAGTAGAGTTCCTCTTGCCATGTTTGCTTCTTTTATTTGCCTTTAGTTAGCTTTTTTTTTTTCAGTTGCTTTATGGGTCAAACAAGTTTTAGCGCGCCCGTAGGAACATCTATTTAATCACAGAATTATGAGAAAGAGGGATTTAATAGATCTTTATGTCCACTGTCATTAATGTGAATGTTTTTGAAAAAGTATATCCAGAAGTAAAGCACTAAATTGCAGTAATAAAAATACTTATTGCATCCACATGGTGGTAAAATGATGATTTTTGACTCTACTGAAAAACTATTTTATTATTTATACATAGCTTGGCAATAAATAAGGAAATATATTATAGGATCTTGTAATTGTGATATCTTTGCTTTGATAACATATTCTTGGCTACACATATGATTTATTTGGTAACAAATACATTTTATAACAAATGAATTTGATCAGGAATACAACTTCCAAATCTACTTTGCCCTGAAAGAAAAGTGTGACCTATTTATCCACAATTTGTATTATGATTAGTTTCTTATCATACTTGCCATGTTTCTAGGGCTAAATAGTGAGGAATGTGACATGCAAAGACTTACCCACTCTTCCTCATCATAGTCTGAGTGGTGTGGTATGGAGTCTTGCCTTCTCATCGGAAGGGTTTGGTCTTGGGGACAGCTCTCCTCTGTGCTGCTCTTAGGAGAGGGTGGCTTCTGGAAGATGCCGCCTGGCCTTGCAGTGTAGAGAGCTAAAAGAGCGCTCCTGACTAGCTGATCCTTGAAGGCATGCACAAAAAGTTCTGTCTGGAAAGAAATTGACAAGGATTAGAAACAGCATGGTAGGCATCTCCTTACAAAGCCATGAAAAGGTCAATTGCAGATCTGTTGGTACTTAAGTGGTGTGTGTGGTGGAAAAAGCACAGGCACCAAAGAGAGAAAATGATTCACACCAATCAGTGGGAAATGGTTTGGTTTGGGGATGCTGCCAAGGCCTTGAGTCCTGTTTTAAAGTTAATGCTAGGGTTTTAAATGCACGATAAACACCATCTGTCTCCTCAGCTCGTCTCTTTTAGCTCTAAATCCTGTCTTTGGAGATGAATTTCTCTGGGGATAAGCATTTAAATAACGTTTACCTGCTACATCTTTCAAATAATTCCAAACATATCTTAAAAGAAAATGTGATCTCATACTGTGTATTTTTTATTTTGAACAGAATTAAAGAAAGACTACAGAAAAAAAAAGACATCTTTTCAAAAAATAATCAGGAGAACTTTCCTTCAGCTTCATGGACAAATCGCAACTGTAGAGGTGACATGCAGTCCTCCCTATGAAAACACTTGACTTTTTATTTCTTTTTATCATCCCCCAAACTGTCTCCTCCACCAAATTATTTCAGTGACATTCAATGTTAACAAGGTTACTATGAAACCTGGCATGGTGGATTTTACAAGCTGGTGGTAAATACCTAGTAAGTACTACAGTAATGATGACTTCCCAACAATAAAGAACTTTACAGCTCTACTTTGCATTTTTCCTGATGAAATGTTTAATAGCTTCACCCCGTAATAGACTGGAAGGCACAGTAATTGATTTTCTGTATGATAGTACACTTAGCATGCATGTGGCCTAACAATCTGTTTAAAGAGTAGAGAAATAAGTCAAGCATTGACCCATATTGTTAATCTATTGATACTTTGCAATCTGTTAGGAAGAGGCCCTTAACACATAGCATTATTTTGAATAATAATTGATATCATCACCATTTAATGCAGCATCCTTGGATATACTGCCGATTTAACCAGGGCTGTAACTCGAGGTAATTGTTTCTCGATGTTCTTTCCATATGCTGCCAAAAGTACTGTGTCTAACCCATGGGTACTGAATTTCTCTATGGTTTCCTGTTGCAAATGTCAGCAATGACAGAAAACCAGTTAAATTTTGTGCAAAATAGGTGCCTAAGAAGATTCTGTGTCATATCTTTGTAATTCCTTCTTTGCAATATATCACAAAATTCTAGAGGTGAAAGAAACCTTGAAGTTGACCTCTTCATTAATCAGATAAGAAAATTTAATAAGTGTGGATATCTATTTTAGCACAAACTGCTTGTTGTCAGCACAGATGGAACAGACCACAGTTGTCTAACAAGCTAATAAGCTTTTCCTCTTATTCCACACCACCCACCACCTGTCAATAGTCTAGATGTCTGGGTCCCTTCTTATCTCCAAATCTCCCTGTGTTTTCAACATCTATCAGTTCTCACAACTGATAAATGTCTCTACAACTGCCCATGGAAGTCTTCTTACTGTTAACTTAAGACTATGTTAAGGTATTAGTCGCATTGAAGCCACTTTGATTGTAAGAGAACAAGAAAACTTAATATTGAAAACAAAGATTCAAACTGCTTTGGGATAAATTAAAAAGCAAAGTAAAGATTCAGCTTAGACTGGAAAGCACAAGAAGTGTTCACTGATGAAGTGTTAAAATAAGAACAAAAAATATTTTTAAAAACCTGAAAATTATCCAGACTACTCAAATCAGTCAGTATAGTTATAGGAAAATAAGAAAACATGTTATTTACATGATTTTTTCACAAGCGTGGATATATCCATCATGTGAATTTAAACATTAAAATGTGAATTCACTTCATTCAGCTTAACCAAAGGATTACTCTGTTGATAGTGTCAATAAATTTCTTTTGATTTACTTTTAGAACAGGTTGCCTTTTTTGAATTGCTGCTTCTACAGCTCCAGTTTCTATAAAACTTACATAATTACTATGTAACAGACTATGTATTCACATCCAATAAAATCTTCTACAGTGCTCATAATCATTTTCTTCCCATAGCATGCACGCACAGAGATTCTACTTCATTTATTTAAATCTCTTTTGAGTTGATTTACCACCAAAGGCAAGGAGGGTAATGCAGCAGATTCTTACAGTTCTGTAACCCAGAATTTTCTTTGAATAGCCAGATATAAGGCAATAAAATCTTAAAGAAACATAATCACAGGTGATCTTATACTTAACCATCTATGCTGACATAGAAACTCTGGATCACCAGGATCCTGTGGACAGGTTCACAGTTCGTTAGAAAAACCTAAATATTCTCTGGCAATATCAATAGAAAAGTCTTAGTTTTTTGATCAATACTACTTCTAAATGTAGACTAATAAGGACTCTGTATGCTGTGCCATCAAAATAAATCAGTTTGAGATTAATATAGATTAATTTGGGATTAATGATTTAATCCCAAAACATCTATATATTGCTGTTCTTAGAACTGAATATCAGAACTGAATAGTACTAGAGAATTTATACAGTCATGGTAACATGAATCTGAGTTGCTTACTGACTGTTCTGAAAATAGTTTTCCTTTTCTGATTCAGCTTGCATTATATAAATGAAAGAAGAAAGGTTATCTAAATGTTAAAATAGGAGGACAGGCAAGACAACTCATTTAAAGTATCAATTTAAAAAAAGAAAAAATAAACCCTGGACCTAAGGAAGCGATCTCTTTCATGTTTGATAATAAAAAAATGAAAGACAAATGTTATCTTTAAAATGAGATGATTTTACACTTACTGACATTTTTCAAGTTCATATTCCCATATACCTATTCTTCAAAGCAAAACAGAATTAATCTGAAAGGTTAAAAACTACTTCTCATAAGAATAAGTGAAGAGAATTTCCCAGTTTTCTGAATATTAATGAGAGAAGTGTAGTTAGGATATGTTCATGTAAGACTACTCTTTTTCACTAGAGATCTCAGGAAATCCAGCAAAGTTCTGTTCTACTTAGAACTTCATTCTCACTCAGAAAATTCAAGGCAGTCCTGACTGAATTCTACCTGCAATTCAGAAGTAGCTGGGATCATAAAGAATTGACTGTTTTTTTAATAGTCATATGTGCAGCAGGAAAAAAATCCTGTTTATTTTGATATTTGATTTGCTTTAATTAATAGAGAAACAGTGTTACACACTGATGAGTTTTCAATATTCTCTAAAGGAAAAATATCTAGCAGCCAAGAAGTTACCTGACATCTGGGCAGCTATGTATTAAATATATATTGTATTCTATGTTTATGTAATTTATACCTATATACTATGTACATAGATACGTATGTACTATATACTAAATCTTGGATAAGTCATATAACCATTTTTCTAATTTTTTGCAAAATTATAATGTCTACTGGGGAAGTCTTAGTAAAGTTCACTTATAAGGTATATATACTTCATGCTAAAATGTTTTAGATTTCTTTTTTTATTCATCGTTCCCTGCTCACCCCAAAAGTAGATCCCAAGAGTCTTAAATCATACATTTTTATCAACTGGTGATATAATCCATTCTTTCACAGCTTCAGCTATGTTCTTTATGTCTGAGTCTCAAAAACTCATCTCAACTCACCTCCCGAACCATCTCTAGCAACCCTTCCCATTGAAAGTCTTTTGAGTTCACTTGAGTTGACTTGAGACAACTCAATTTTTTTCTTGTTGTTTTAGCAATGCCAAATTTTGTTCTTGTAAATATGTCCTCATATCTTCCTTTTGAGTGGTATCATTACTCTTCAGCAACTCAGAATCCAAAGCTCTGGCTTTGTGATACTTATGTGGTGGATTAGCTGTTGACTGTTTCTAGCTAAACCTTTAAATAATTCCAAAGGCGGTGCCTTTCTTTACCTCCCCACAGTTAGTTCCAGTTAAGATCCTTTCTTCCAGTCTTTTTACTGGCTGGCAGATATACTTTTCTAAAGCTAACTTTCCTTTTTTTCCAGAAGGTTAAAATACAGACTTCCCAATCCCAGGCCTGAATTGCTGAATCAGAATTTGTAAATTTAGCAATCTCCCCTAGGAGCATGAATGACTTTTTGTGATATAATGTCCTATAATCCAAATCCACTATTCTAACTCAATCACTCAATGAGTATAAGGACGATCTTCACAATGCTTGCATTCAATCCTTCCTTACTCAGCCTTCTTAGGCCTACACAATGAAACTTCTCCTGGGTAAGTAACTAGGTGACTAGATCATATATTGTTTTTAATTTTATGAAAACCTGCTGAGACTTGCATATTTCCAAAGTGTGCAAATGACAGCACACTCATTAGTGCTGTGTGAAGCAAGTTCTGTTTTTTCCAGTTCCACCTTCATGTGTTTAGCCTTCTTGATGTTAGCATTTCCAGTAGGTAGACAGTGGCATCTCATTGTGGTATAAATTTGCATTTTCTAGTGAAAAATAGTGCTGAGTACCTTGCAGGCACTTATCTACAATCTAAGTATCTTTTCTGGTGATATTTTTAATTCTTTTGTCCATTTTTAATCAAGTTGTCTTATCAAATTCTCCAAATAATTTATGTCTCTGATAAAAGTCCTTTATATCATATTTTACATTATTTCCTCCCAGTTTGTGACTTTATTTTCTCACCACCTTTCTGAGGGATGCAAATTTTAAAATTTTTTTAGTAATACTGGAGTTTGAACTCAGGATCTTATGATTGCTCATGCATACTTGTAACCCCAGCTACTTGGGAGGCCAGAGATCAGGAGGATCATGGTTTATCCCAAGGAAAAAGTTATCAAGATCTCATCTCAATAAATAAGCTGGGTCTAATGATACATGTCTGAAATCCCAGCTATAAGAGAGGCATAAATAGGAATGTGGTCCAAGACTGGCTCTTGGCAAAAACATAAGACTCTATCTGAAAAACAACTAAAGCAAAAAAGGGATGGTGGCATGTTTCTCTAATTTCCAAAATATATGGAGTATATTTAATTTTTCTATTTTAAAGTCCTTACCTGCTAA